AAAAAAAAAAAAAAAAAAAAAAAAAAAAAAAAAAAAAAAAAAAAAAAAAAAAAAACCGAGACAAGGAGACAGGTTGTGGGGTGATAAGGAGACAGAGACAAACAGCAGCAAACAAAGAAGAGACAGAGAGAGACAGAGACAAAAAAAACAGAGAAAGGAGACAGAAACAAATAGAGAAAGATAAAAGAAACAAAAAAGGAGACAGAAAAATAAAACAACAAAAAAACAGAAACAACAAACATAACAACATACAAAGGGAGGAGACACAGCAGCAGCAGCAACACCAACAGCAGCAGCAACAGCAGCAACAGCAGAAGCAACAGGAGCAGCAACATAAGCACCAATAGCAGCAGCAGCGCCAACAGCAACAGCAGCAGCAACACCAGCAGCAGCAACAGCACCAGCAACAGTAACAGCACCGGCAGCAGCAACAACAGCAGCAGCAGCAGCAGCAACACCAGCAGCAGCAGCAACAACACCAGCAACACCAGCAGAAGCAAGAACGCCAGCAGCAGCAGCAACAGCAGCAGCAGCAGCAAGAACACCAACAGCATCAACACCAGCAGAAGCAACAACAACAGCAGCAGCAGCAACAGCAGCAGCAGCAGCAACAGCAGCAGCAGCAGCAGCAGCAACATGTACCTGAAAAGTTTATATTTAGTTTTAACAGATTTCTCGCTGTTTCTATCATCATCACTGCATTCATTTTCTGCTTCTGCTTCGTCCTCTTCTTCGCTGCTCTCTGCTGCTGCTGCTGCTGCTGCTGCTGCTTCTGCTGCTGCTGCTGCTGCTGCTGCTGCACGCAGTCGCGGACCCTTCGGGCCAGCTGCGACGGGCTCGCTCTTTTCTGCTGCAGCAGCAGCAGCAGCTGCTGCTGCTGCTGCTAGACGGCTGCTGCCGCGCTGGGGACGACGATCCTGCTGCTGCTGCTGCTGCTGCTGCTGCTGCTGTTTCTGGCGCGCTTTCTGCTGCGAAGGTGTCTGCTGCTGCTGCTGCTGCTGCTGCTCCTTCTCTTCTTCTTTCTCATCGCTTTCTTCCTCTTCTTGCTGCTCCTCCTGCTGCTGCTCCTGTTGCTGCTGTTGTTGTCGCTGCTGCCGTTGCTGCTGCTGTTGTTGCTGCTGCTGTTGCTGCTGTTGCTGCTCCTGCTGACGCTCCTGCTTCTCCTGCTGAAGCGTCTCTTGTTGGCTTTGTGGCTGCTCTTCTTGCTGCCGCTGCTGCTGCTGCTGCTGCTGCTGCTGCTGCTGTTGTCGCTGCATCTGCTGTTGCTGCAGTTTCTGCTGCTGCTGCTGCAGTTGCTGCTGCTCCTGGGGGTTCGGGGGTGTCTGCTGCAGCTGCTGCAGGTGCTGCAGCAAGGCACTCCTCAGTGTATCAACCTGGTCTTGAAGGCTACT